GGGATTGCATTGAATTAAAGCAGCAGGAGCAAACGCTTGCCTCGGGGAGGGAGAAAAAAAGCCACAGCGGAGAATAAACGAGAAGGGTCTAGCTGCGGCCGCGGCCAGTACACGACACTACACGACACGCCCACTACACGACACGCCCACCTGACACGACACTACGGTGGCTGAGAGACATTACCATACATGGCAGATTAAAAGCGAATTGACGACACTGACGCTGATGCAAGGATATTTAAAGAGACATGAGGTTCAGAGAACAGACAAACAATATGGCGCACCGAGTACAGGTAATTAACGTATTGTGGTTTTAGATATAATTACATACTATTTAGGTTCTCGTTTGTTTGTCGATGTGGCTGTTTAGCGCAGTGTAATTGTGTTTATTTAGCTAATTTGTATTTTAAATATTAAATGTAAAGGAATGGAATACATATAAATATATATATATATCTTAGCTCTTAGCTTGACATGCTCGACGTTCAGTTAGCATATATGCTAACTGAACATGCTCGTTCAGTTAGCATGTCAAGCTAAGAGCTAAGATATATGTATATATTTTAGCTTGACAGATGGAACAATGCATGTACTCGCATTTTTACAAGAATCTGATTTTAAATATTCATTGAAGGTGTCTTTCACATTTGAATGTTTTAAAAAAAAAACATGTATTAGCTGCTATACTGACATGCACATATGTATAATTATATTATTATTTTAAGTGTGGTTTAAAGTTAAATGATATATAGTTATTGGGTAGAGCCAAGTAACCCAGGTGGATGCAATCAGGCCTCTGTTTTTAGATGGGGTTTGTGGCCATGCTGTAGGCCTGACATTTAAACCATAGACCGTATATATAAAGATTTAAACTAGCTGAAGGGCTTTCTGTTCGAACCACAGTGACATCTAGAGGTTGTTTTGTGCATAACATGTCAACCAAAAAGGTAGAGCTGGCTGAATCAGATGGAGTTAAACTTTTTTTTTTTTCAACAAGATATCAAGACACAAAATGTGCTCTACCAAATGGTGGCGCTGGCAGTTAAAGGGTTACCTTCTGAAAGTGAGGAAGTATGACCAGCTTTGTCCCATAGGATTATACAGGCCAGTCCATTGCTGCTTGTTTAAGGAGTTAACTATTTCCAATATTAAAGTCACTGAAATTGTATTCTATTTTATTCACCTATAGACAAACAACACAACACTCCGTGATGGAGCACGCCCAGAGCTCAACAAATTGGACTCGGACACAATGAAACACTGGCTTGCTTGTATCAAATCAATACAATTCCCACATGCCCTACCCCGGAACCTGCGGTCTTCAGACTCTGGCCCCCCGCACCAACCTGCGATCCTTCGGGGACAGAGCCTTCAGTATGGCAGCCCCCACTCTCTGGAACGCTCTCCGTGCGGAGATCTGCAACATCCCCACGCTTGACGCCTTCAAAAGGGCCCTCAAGTCTGCCAAGGTCTTTGGCCCCAAATCTATTTGTGTTGTCTGTCTAACTGTTCGTCTGACTGCCTTTTGTTATGTTTGTTTCTACTCCTGTTCTTTTTAAAGCGACCTTGGGTCTCATGAAAGGCGCTATATAAATCCAAGTTATTATTAATACATCATTGGAACGGTAAGAATCTCAGCTACAACACTGACTAAAGCCTTCCCATCTCCAGTATGCCTACATGACAAGCATTTTTATAATATACAGTAAACATATCTTTGACTTATTAGAGAAGAGACAATCATCAAGCCAGATACCAAGGTATTTACAACAGGCAACCACTTAAATTACTTTTCCTTTATGTTATTGTTATTTGGTTTTTATTAGTGCTTTTGTCGTTTTGAAGGAAATTAAAATACTGTATTGAGTTGGTTTCTTCTGTTTTGGAAGCCTTGTATATCTTTTTGGTCTTGTTAGAAATACCCCATGGTAAAACAGTGTTCTAGCAGCAGTTAAAGAAGCTTAGTTTGCTGTCTTAGACTGCCAGTTGTATTAAGATGGTTTGTTCACAATTTACACATAAAACCTAAATGTTCATCTGTTTATTGTTCTTCTTCCTTTATATTCAAAGCATGTTGATTGTCTATTGGCTATATCTTGACATTATGTTAATTTGATCATACTTGCCATACATTTATTTTAATTTATGCGATTCCTTCAAAGGTTTTGTAATAGACCCCTAGTACTTTTAATTTATAAAGTAATAATAATACATGTGAATGATTGAGCTCATTAGTGGCCTGACTGGCCCTCCTAATTTGTTCCTTAATGACCCCATGATGTGATAATGTATATCTTAAAACCTTTAACAACTATATTTAGATGTTCACAAATATCTACATTTATGTATAAAATACATGTGTACAGTAGCAGTTAGACAAACATAATCAATAGATTATCTCATTAATACCTATTTTATATATTAAAAAAAAGTTGACTAAACCACCGTTTGTTGACAAAATGATTTGGGTTGAAAGTTATACTGTTGTGTCTCAAACGGATAGACTAGGTTATTAATTTATTTGCCTAATAGTTGCTTAAAATGCTACAATAACATTTGCAATTCGTTTTTAATCTGCCATGTACGATCTCAATAATAATAAGTGTCGTCAATTCGCTTTTAATCTGCCATGTACGGTAATGTCTCTCAGCCACCGTAGTGTCATGTCAGGTGGGCGTGTCGTGTAGTGGGCGTGTCGTGTAGTGTCGTGTACTGTCCGTGGCCGCTGCTAGACCATATTGGAATAAACAGAAGGGTAACCATGGTAACTATGGGCGGGGAGTCTTCTTCTCTGCTTTTGTGGCAGACTACAGCGCCACTTACAGGCCTGGCATATGTACTACAGCGTCTCCAGCGCTTTCGAATGGCAATGGCCGTGGCTGTCTCCTCCTGATTGGTGGAGTTGGCCCAATAGCCGTAGCGCCACCGTCCTGACGTCAGGACAGTGTTCAAATCTGGATCAGTTTTTATCAGATCCGTTGCAGCCCCTTTTTTTAGAGATTTGGGTATGGAGGAAAATAGAGAGGGTTGTGTTTTCTGACACTTGGTGAGTTCCCTGGAACACCGGGGACACATATTCATGTATAAAAGACGTACAAAAGTACATTTTGCATGATAGGTCCCCTTTAAATCAAAACTCATAGCCTACTTTTACTGGTTAAACAATGCAATGACAATAAGTTTCACAAGATGTATTACATTGTCAGAGCCATAGACTGTGGTATTTTAAGAGAAGGGACAGGGAGACGCCATATTTTTGAGGTTTCAAATGTATACACTGCCTGGATTATTTTTACAACAGGGAGTTATTATTATACAACCACAATCTCCCAAAAAAGCGAGTCTGCTTTTCAAATATCTATTATACGTTTATATATTAATGTAACTTTCCAGTCGTTGAAAGACAAGAATGTAGCCTCTCATTGGCAGAACAGTGAAAAGTTACAGTCCATTAAAAATCTACATTTTCATGATATGTATTTAGATACAGTATGTATTAGAACTGCTGTTTTAGTCTGTATGAGTTTTTCTCCTAAAAGGACAGCAATGCCTTCACACAGCATACAGCTCACCCCTGAACTCCAAACATATTGGGTGGAAAATGTGTGTTTGTTCCTCAATTAGCCTCAGGAGAGGAAGGAATGTAACTGTGTGTGTGAAAGCTCAAGGGGCACGAGACGCTTCGGCTCTACTGACGTATGAACACACACTTAGACAGGTTAAAAAGAGAGGGTCTGAATGATTGACAGCAGAAATGTGTGAGCATGTTTGTGTCTACAGTACATGTGTGTGTGCATGGTGCACCCTGCTGTAGTAGAACTGACATTAAGGTCTTTGAGTTTAAGGTCACATGGTTAATGGGACTTCGATTTCCCAAGGGTTTAGTTTATCTGTTTCTGGAAGTCAAACATTATCCACGTTAATTACTCCGAGGCAGCATGACACTGGAAATTGTGTGTGTGTGTGTGTGTGTGTGTGTGTGTGTGTGTGTGTGTGTGTGTGTGTGTGTGTGTGTGTGTGTGTGTGTGTGTGTGTGTGTGTGTGTGTGTGTGTGTGTGTGTGTGTGTGTGTGTGTGTGTGTGTTTGCATGTGTGTGTGTGTGTGTGTGTGTGTGTCTATGTGTGTGATATTGTGGGGGTCTGCTCTCACGCCTCTCAGTTCAGCCAATCAAGAGCTGCCTCTGGGTAATAGACAATATAGACAAAAACGAAGATCCTCCTTCAACAACAACACCAACATGTGTGTCTTAAAACATGCAAAACACACAGTGTGTCAGCAGAGCTCAGAGACATGTTTGACATGTTTTTATACCAGTTAAACTTTTGTAAATGTGTGAATTAAGGTCAACCAAACATTTCCTGATACAATCAATATAAGTTGATTTACTTTTGTTTGTTAAAAGTTCTTATTTGACAACATCAACACACATTTTAAAGCAGCTTCTGTGCATTCATTTGTAAGAAAATGTCAGCTATTAATTGATGTCAGACCTAGGGTTGGTAAAATATTTTAGTTTGTTATTATATTGGTTGAATAACTATTTACATCCCAGCATCAGCCTGCCTGCCAAGCTGCACACAGGATTGTAATGAAGGAATTCCCTCATGTTTCCTTTTGGTTCCTGAAACCAAAACACTGCACGTATAAAAGGCCTGAAATAAAAGCTGTTTAATTCTCTGTGTACCACATCATCATCTGATCCAGGAAGAACCAAGGGAGGCTAACATTCACTCTTAATATACCATGAACTCAAGTTAAGTGCATCCAAAACAAATTTTGCACAAAAAAATTCAGTTAACTTTAGTGGCGTTTGTTATTTTGCAGAATTGTATCTGTTTCACATTCCTCTTCAGCCTGGCATGTGTTCTCAACATAAACGTTCAAAAGTCTCCCTGCTGTCAGAAGGCGTACTATTTTCTAAAAGTACAGTTGCCTCCATTTTGCTTGTGTCAGAGCGTTTGGTTGTGATTTGCGTGCACATGTGTCTCAGTGACCCTCACCAGCTTTGCCCTCCCAGGCGAGCCCCAGCACCCCGCTGTAGTCTCTGTTGGTGAGCAGGTAGGACAGACAGTAGTTGCCCCAGTTGTTCTCAGAGTACAGACTCAGCAGCTTCTCAGGCCCGATGAACCGATGGTTCATGGGATCGTTTTGATCCTCCTCCGCCATCATCTGGAGAGAGACAGGAGCACTGTTTTACCAAAGATCTGTAAATGAGCTTACATGGCCTTAGGGCAGGGTATCACTTACAAATGAGCGATACTAGTACCAACAACCGATGCCAAAAGACTGATTTTTCTTAGATCTGGGCACAAAAAGGATATACTGCAGGTATTGCTGGATTACATCTGTAACATCACGTCATGTGTGTTCATTTCCCCGTTTTGTTTTGTTGTGTTATTTTGAACTTGCTTTTCCTTCTCGTTTCAGAGCCTTTTTAACTTCCTGTCATTGTGTGTTTTCCCACCAGTGTGATTGTCAGCACCCCCCCCCCCTTGATTGTTGCTACCTGTGTCCCATTACCTCTTGTGTATAGTCCTCGTGTCTCTTTGTCTTGTGCCTTTTCGTCTCGCTTCATGTGCAGAAATGAGAGCCAGCCTTTTGATGTCAACAACCTTTGATTCAAGTTAATTTAGGCTTAAGGTTTTGCATTCAGCCTTTGCCATGCTTTGCCTCTGAAAGAGTGATTTTGTTGTTGTACTTTGTTTTTTGAACTTTGTCTCAAGTGGTTGCATTTGAGTCTTTGAGTCACGTTGCTAACAAAATCATTAATTTACAAGTTAACCTGCAATATATAGAAAATACAGCTCCCCCTATACCTGCTGCAAATACTTTTCTGAGTACTTTGTCCGCCACTGCGTTCATAAGTTTTGATTAGACTTTGTACTTGATTATTTCCGACAAACCATTACATTGATGTGGCTCAATGGTGTGGTTGTTTGAGTGCAGAGGGATCTTACTTTGAGGGATTTCACTTTGAAGTTGATCAGCTTGATTCCATCAAAGTCCACCTTGTCGTAGATGTCGTTCACAACACGAATGTAGGACGCAACCTGAGAAAAACATGCATTTATGTGAGAAAACGGTTCATAAAAGCTTTGTGTTTCAGGTTTACATGGACTCAACATACATGCAACTTGACAAAACACAAGCAAATACAAATATATTATACTCCTTAATTTGACAGCACACCTGCAGCATTAAGAAAAAGGGCACGGTAAATATATAAAACCTTAGCATACTGACACAAAGAGCCACCAATTGTTGTGACATTTCTGACCAAGATGTATTGAGAGTCTAAATGAATTTGCAAGCACATCTGAGGGGCAAATGAGTTTGAAACATGTGCTTTAGATAAAAAACCTGACTCTGAAAACACTCCTACAGTGTTATATATTAAGTACAGTACATTCAAACATCGCCAACAAAGTTTTAATTATGATCCATACATCTGTAAAGTGAGGCAGGGTGACTGTTGTCAGTGTGGGATGTCCCATGTGAGGGTCTGAGTCTGAACATCAGGACAGGAACATCGAGTAGATCCCTAAATATTGACAGCTTGGACACAGGAGACACTTGGTCCAGGTCAGCAATGATTGACAGCAACATTTTGTCTCTTTACTCCCAGAGAGCACATCGGGGCTTCACCTATAGTTTATTTTCTCACCGGGTGCAAAAAAGGTCTGGCGGTGCACCAGGGACAGTGTGTGTGTGTGTGTGTGTGTGTGTGTGTGTGTGTGTGTGTGTGTGTGTGTGTGTGTGTGTGTGTGTGTGTGTGTGTGTGTGTGTGTGTGTGTGTGTGTGTGTGTGTGTGTGTGTGTGTGTGTGTGTGTTAAAGGGGGAAAGAATCTGAGGACGGACAGCATGTGAAAGGTTAGTGTGAATAATAGTCAGCTAAGGACAGACTTACTTACGCAATTACTGACCTCACTTTGATCACACAGAGATTTAATATTAAAAAAAGCACATATTGAAATGGTCCCGGATGCGAATGAGATCACATAAAACATCCCTAATAATTAAGGTCTTATCAACTTTTGAATGTCATAATATTGGTTTTAATTTAGAGAAAGTCCTAAAGGTATTTGTTAAGTCACTGGATTCCCACGTCAGTGTGTGGCCAACCTCAATATTAATAATACAACTCTTTGTTCAGACAGAGACACTTCAACACACACACACACACACACACACACACACACACACACACACACACACACACACACACACACACACACACACACACACACACACACACACACACACACACACACACACACACACACATACACACACGTAAATCACTGTTATCTTTCCTATGTCACTGAGGCAATGCAGGCGCGCCGGCGGGAGAGCAGCTCTTGACCTGAATGACCGCAGGTCAGCCAACATCAGCTCAGACGGGAAATCAAACATTCCTCCTCAAACAACTTCACATTCACTAATTCAGTTCCACATGTGCTGAAAGGGAGAATAAATCAAACTAATGATTTTCACTCCAAGGCCCCTCCTCAGTGACATTTTGCAAGCACTGATAAGGTCAAAGGTCAAGAGTGCAGGACAAGGGGTTAAAAATGTTTGACATTGAGGATTATAGCCACCAAATAATTCACGGAGTTCATTCATTTCAGAGGTGGCAAGTTATAAAGTACATTCTTTCAAGTACTTTATATTTAAAGAGGCCCTTTTATACAAGGTTCTCCCTTTCCTATAGAGTGTTATAAACAGGGGTGCACATAACTGGTATGCAGGTACGCATGCGCGGCAACAATCTGAAATGCGTACCGTCACTTGTGTCACAAAGCGCATTTGCGTACCGACGTACTTGTGAAGCTTTTCCAGAAGGCGGTTAGATCACTGGACGACAGAGTCGGTCTCCGTGTGCACAGACAGGGCTGCTGTTAACGTCGGTCTGTACAACGGAATTGTGCCAAAACTACGCCAACCGGCTGCGGAGGGAGACTCCCCCTCTTCACTGGAGAACTGCGCTAAAACAGCTGATCACAACGTTCACGCTCTGTGGTCACGAAGTACTCCACTAGCCCCCCCCCCCGTCGACTTTCCTGAAGTACTCCACTAGCACCCCCCCGTTGACGTTCGCGATACAGAGGGCTTCATCAAATAACTTTGAGTGGAGCCAGAAGTTGGAGTACCAAACACTGACTCCAGGTACTCATCTGAGTACCTCACTGAGAAAGTTATGTGCACCCCTGGTTATAAAGGTTTTTGTGCATGTAAATGGTCTGAAAAGGCCAAAATCACAATTTCCCCCCAGAGGGAGTTTCTCTCTCACATGAGTTTTGATGTCATACTGAAGGTACATACTGGATCTGCTGAGTGCAACTAAGGGAAGAACACGAGGTGACCGGTACTGCTTATTTAACCGTGAGTACTGACGGCTATTCACCAGGCCTTTAAACCTGGCAGAGTCTTGTCTGTGTACTTCCCCGGCAGCTGTGTGAGACCCTGGCATGTGGCGCCTCATTCAGCCTCAACAGCTCGGCCCTTTATTTAGTATTGTTGAATCTGTCACTGGTAAATAATGCACTACCTGAAAACAAATAGCTTTCCTCTAATTTCCTTATAGTCACAAGATGTGGTCGTTAGAAACGAAACCGGACAAAAAAAGCTTCGGTCATGATCAAAATGTTGGCTTTCCTCCAAAACTCTCCTTTAATCTGAGATAATCCTAAAACTTCTCTCTGGGACATTCGATAATGCCGTCTAACTGAGGTCACACACTGCTCAGATTACAGAAGGTCAGTTCAGGTAAATAAAGGAGAATTCACCATTAAAACCTTATTAAATGAAATGTTCAATGTCCTTCTCTTGCACACTGTTTGGTAACACTACAAGATAGGACGGATCTAGTGCCAAATGACGTTATTCACATATTGTTCCCTCGTTTCAATCAAGATAAGACTGAACAACTGGGAAATACATCAGGTGAACTTTGATTGCAGCAACATGTACAGGACACCATATTCAGAGACAGGTTTAGGCTCGCTCAGTTCAGTGGAGGAAGTCCGGTTGTTCCAGAGGACACAATGTACTGCGGAGCATTTCCGGAACATCAGGCAGCTCAGGTATCAGCAGCATCCAAAGTGCTTCATGTTCTAGCTGGCATGAGACTTTCCTTTGTTTGGATAACATAAGGGCACAGAACCTGCACTTTAAACCTCAGTAACCTCTAGTTTTTACCTATATTTTAGTCTTTTGTAGGTGTCTTAACCCCTTGACTCCCGCCAGAAGCACTGATACTGAGCTAAAGATTAAACCATGGTTAGACAAACATTCTGTCTCAGTGAAAAGATACTCAAAAACGCAGACCTTCACGAAAGGTCATTTAATTTGTGGGTCCGACCCATGATTTTGTCCAACTCAAATCTAAATGCATAGGGCTCTTCCTTGATTGATTTTCCCCCTTACTTCTGTAAATAGTGACATCACTGTAACACTCGCGCTTCTATTGGCTAGTAGCAATCCAACACATTGCACGTGATATGCTAAGTAGAGACACTACATACTGATATGAACCTGAACATCAGCAGGAGAGGACTCTTTAAAGTAGAGACACTACATACTGATATGAACCTGAACATCGGCAGGAGAGGACTCTTTAAAGTAGAGACACTACATACTGATATGAACCTGAACATCAGCAGGAGAGGACTCTTTAAAGTAGAGACACTACATACTGATTTACACCTGAACATCAGCAGGAGAGGACTCTTTAAAGTAGAGACACTACATACTGATATACACCTGAACATCAGCAGGAGAGGACTCTTTAAAGTAGAGACACTACATACTGATATACACCTGAACATCAGCAGGAGAGGACTCTTTAAAGTAGAGACACTACATACTGATATACACCTGAACATCAGCAGGAGATGACTCTTTAAAGTAGAGACACTACATACTGATATACACCTGAACATCAGCAGGAGAGGACTCTTTAAAGTAGAGACACTACATACTGATATACACCTGAACATCAGCAGGAGAGGACTCTTTAAAGTAGAGACACAACATACTGATATACACCTGCACATCAGCAGGAGAGGACTCTTTAAAGTAGAGACACTACCTACTGATATACACCTGAACTTCAGCAGGAGAGGACTCTTTAAAGTAGAGACACTACATACTGATATACACCTGAACATCAGCAGGAGAGGACTCTTTAAAGTAGAGACACTACATACTGATATACACCTGAACATCAGCAGGAGAGGACTCTTTAAAGTAGAGACACAACATACTGATATACACCTGCACATCAGCAGGAGAGGACTCTTTAAAGTAGAGACACTACCTACTGATATACACCTGAACTTCAGCAGGAGAGGACTCTTTAAAGTAGAGACACTACATACTGATATACACCTGAACATCAGCAGGAGAGGACTCTTTAAAGTAGAGACACTACATACTGATATACACCTGAACATCAGCAGGAGAGGACTCTTTAAAGTAGAGACACTACATACTGATATACACCTGAACATCAGCAGGAGAGGACTCTTTAAAGTAGAGACACTACATACTGATATACACCTGAACATCAGCAGGAGAGGACTCTTTAAAGTAGAGACACTCCATACTGATATACACCTGAACATCAGCAGGAGAGCACTCTTTAATGAATGTAGCACACATGCCCTGTCTTGCAATGTAAACCAAAGTGAAGCATGTGTGAAGATGCTAAAATGAATTGGGCTCTCTCTTGGCCCATGCTCAACCTTTAAATCAAGTTGTATAAATATTGGGCCGGTAGCATTTCTGTAATCCTGCTGACAAACAGACAAACAAACCACAACCGAAAACATGACCATCTTCGAGAATGCAATGGTGTTTAAAGACAGTTTTGAAGTGTTCACCTGAGCCACGACAGCATCTGCAGACTTGAACTTCTTGTAGTAAAGGTGATCAGCGTGAAGGTGCATCAGGCAGCTGGTCTTTGACTCATCCACTGTTCTCCTCGACCGGCTCACTGGCGCCTCCTGTAGGAGAAATGGCAGAAACACGAAAAAGGACATTAATTACCCTTGAACAGATTTTAAAGGTGACTCGCTGTATGACAGAATTGAATCCTGCTAAATTCCCAGCATGCACTTGACCTTCCACTGAGATTTGGTTTATATTAATCCTGATTTCGCAGGTCAAGAACCTGGCTTATAAAAATACGTCAGTATAAATGCGTCGCCACGTGTCCCAGTGGGAAAGGGAACAGGAACACAGCATGGACGCTGTACTGAAAACAAACATCTGTTCAGACCATTTGATTACCAAACACTGGAAGTGATCTTCACTGGCAGCTATGTTGTTAAAAATGGATCCATACTAATGTCCCGACGTCCATTGTTTACACTGTACTCTGGGAAAACCAGCAAGTCGGTCAAAAGTCACGGATAAATGGAGTACCCAAGGGGGAAATCAGCTAAATAGACTTGGCAGATGTTTATTCTGTAATTAGCGTAAAGGTCATTCGGTTTGGAGGTAAAGGAGTTTAAGTCTGTAAAGATGCAGGTCGTCCTTTTTTGGTTTTTCTATGTCTACATATGTTTTGTTACTGTCATAGCGTTGTGCTGGAAGTCAAATCAATCCTGAATTTAGCTCTTGGTGACTCAATAGGCTAAATAAAAGTGGCCAAACAAATGAATACGCTCATTGACAAGGTCAGTCATGTTTCCAAGTCAATCAGACAAACTGTTCTGGGTTAGGAGTTAATTGGCTATAAATGGGTTTCTGCAGAGCAGGACTTTTTTATGGGTAAGGACAGAAAAAGAAAGAAGGAGTGAGAGTGCGTCAGTGTTTGTGAGGTGATGTCTGAACTGTCATACCTCGTCGGTTCTGAGTCTTTGGGCGAGGACGTTCAGATGATCTGCTCCACAGAAACCATCAGCGTCCGTTCTCATGGAAGGAAGGACTGCACAAAACCAACAGAAACACTCAGACACACATTCAGGATAAAAGAGAAGATATCTTACTAATAACAATGAGTAGCATTTTAATATTGACAAAAGGTATCTAACATTCAATATAAAATATAAAAAGGTTAGAAAACTGTCAAAAGAACTATCATTTCACGGGAAGACTATAGGGGTAGAGGAATGTGAGAATTTGGTTAGGGGTATTGTCAAATATCTGGAACCTGCAGGTCCGCTGCTGCTGGGTAAACTACCACCTTACATCTGCTCACTGATATCACAGAGAGTCGCAAGTAGCTATTGCCTAAGATCCCAGGATGTGTTTTTATTACATGTACCAAGTGCTAGGACTGTTTTAGGCACTAAAGCTTTTATGTGCGCAGCTCCTCTAGCTTGGAACACTCTGCAAAACATTTTGAAAATGAGCATTTTGGTTCCCCTGCATCATTTTAAAGCACAGCTTGATTAATTGATATTTGATACTCCTGGTACCTGTCTTTGTGAATACGTTTGTAAATGGTAACCCTGTCATTATGTTGTATGTGTCCTTTTTGTTTTCTGTTGCTACAAATAAACAAACTCTCACTACTTTTAAATCCAGGCTGAAGACTTTTCTTTTTGCCGCTACTTTTAATTGAACATCTCACACTGCACTGTAACTTTTATTCACCTGTGTACCTGTGTTATTCATGTTTTATTATCTTTGCTTTTTAATGTTTCTAATGTGTTTTATGCTCTTAATGTCTTTCATTTTTGTAAAGCACTTTGAATTGCCTTGTGTTGAAAAGTGCTATATAAATAAACTTTGCCTTGCCTTTTCTTGCCTAACGCTTACTTGCGAGTTTTACGTTGAATTAGCTGATTTATATACAAAATCATTGATTAAACAGTATTGAGATGTGGATGGCAGAGTGTCACCCTGCAAGAGAACAGCAAACAAGACCCCACCAAACACTTCAGTCACACACACAGATGCAGGGTGAAACCCACAGGAAAGCAAACACTGTCAATAGTAATTGTGTCCTGGAACGTGTTCTGACTATGAGAGACACTTTCAATGACTCACTTTGATGTAGGCGCAAAGTGACCCAAATGACACCGTGTTCTCAAATAACTATAAATAATTACACAGATGTTAAACACAAGGTTTGGTACTTTGGGTGCACCTAATGTTCCTGTTTGTTGGAGCAAACAGGACGCTATTTTATGTGTTGAAACTAAATGTTCCAAAAGGATTATTGATTGGGGAAGGAAATGCAGATTGGACAAGCCCAGGAATTACAGAAACTATCTATGTCAGGGGAGGAGATGTTTCCTGGAGCATTAACGACAAGAAGCGTCTATACTGTATGCTGGAGTAAAATGTTGGACAATGTGCCAAAATGTTCCAGATAATACATGTCAAATAAAACAAGATGTTTCAATAAATGGGGCAAAGCCTGCGAGCTAGTTCAGGCAGTCAACTCGAGCACCAATGATACATTAACACGTGACGCACCTCGTCCCTCTTACAACCAACCAAACACATTCTCCTAAACATGCCGCTCTATTTAAGCTGCCAGGTCTTCCTGCCTCTGCCTCCTTAATGCTGCTGCTGCCACTGCTGTGTTCACTTGCTATTGCTACGTTCATGTTCCTGCTGCTGTGTTTCATGTTGCTGCTGCTTGCCTGCCCCACCACCACCCCAGCTTCCACCCCAGCTTCCACCTGTAGGCTCGGGGGATAGTTATCTAATCATCACTCAATGTTCTTTGTAAATCTGTGGAGTGATGAGGCCCGAGCCTAGACGCCAAACTCAAACTATATGCTGCTTCTAATAAACATATTAAGAAACACGTGAGTGAAGAGCATTTGTGGTTTATTCTGATGTTTCCACATGTCTTTCTTGAGATTTCAAGGTCTCAAGTCTCATGTTTAAAGTGAAGTAAACGTGCTGGGTCCTCCTGTTTACTCAACAGGTGCACAAGGTCACATTTATTGCTTTATGACCACAGTCATAGAGAAGATAAAAGGATTGTTTCCTGTCGGATAAAGTTTACTACTTTCAGGACTAGAGATAAAAAAAGTCAATGTTATTCATTCTATATCAACTTTTCCATGCAGAACGATCCTAATTTGTGACAAACTCAAAAGCAGAAAAATGCCAAAAATAAATGAACGACCTACAAGGTAGAAGCTTTTTATCAGAGAACTAGAGTGAGGGTGAAAAGAGGTGATGCAGCACAGGCAGTATGAGAAACATAAAGAGCTTTTTGAACATTAAAGGAGAGGTATCATGCTTTTCCGGTTATTACCCGTCCCCTTGTGTGTTATGAAGGTTTTTATGCATGTAAACGGTCTGCAGAGTCAAAACCCTCAAAGTACACCCTGTAGCGAGTAAAACTCTAACACAGAAAATACCTCCCCAAAACGCCTCGTTGGAGATACGTCACTGTCCATTGTTTACTTCCTGGACACTGTGACGTGTGAATGGCCAGGAACGAAATTGACCAATCCACGGACTTCCTCACACACACACAGCTCAGCTGATTTCTCCTCCCTGGCTGCAGGCTGATAACAGACAGTTGGGATCGCGGCGAAATTCTCTCTGCAGACCCATTCTCACAGCGTTTATCAACCTTTTTCTTACTCAATATCAAGCCACACTTATTGTTTTTACTTCGGCTGTGAGTTTGTGTGTGCTCAGGATGAGTTTGGCTGTGTTTCGCTATGTATCCTAAACAAGGAAACAACACCTCCACGGAGCTCAGCGCGATTCACAACGTCCCGACCAATCAGAGCACACTGTGCTCACAGGGAGGGTGGGGGCTGGAGCTTTTGGAGCTACAACGAGCCGTTAAAGGCAGAGAGTGAAATTCAGTGAATACACGTAGTTTACAGAGATGCTGTATGAGAAACCAATGTGATTCTGGAAAAATGCACAATATAAATCTATTCTAGTATACCTCAACAATGGAATTATGATCAGTGGAAATGGCCATGACACCTCTCCTTTAAAGCATGGAGACATGACACAGAAGAGACACTACATACTGATATGAACCTGGAAATGACTAATATAGGGCCCCTTGAATACAGTAAGTGCTGAAAATTCATTTAAATCGGCACCTTAGTGACCAGCATGCCAGACAGAAGCATCCTGATATTCTCAGCCACCTTTTTATATAAAAAGAGGATCCACATTTGGAAATCAGCGATGAATGTGCCCATAGGTCAGTCTGTAGAACAGCTGTAATAGCTGCTGTTTTGATTTCACTCACTGTGCTTTGCAACAGCCCTGGGATGTCTGCCTCGTTCAGATTGTTGTAATAATTTTTCGATTGCAGCCGAGGGAGTAATGGCCCATGGTGTTGCGCTGGCAAAACCACAACATTCCACAAAAATGCAAGAGGGGCCCTAAGGACTTTCATGCAAAGAGTGCAGTGAGTTCATGGTCAGAGGCTGTGGGGACTGTATGCAGCACAAACTCTTTGGTTATCGCCTAATTCTAGTGTACAACAATGAGACTAATTAAAGAAAATGCAACTATTACAGTTACATTCATGTGAAAAACAATAGGGCTTTGGATTAGATAACTTACAGTAGTCACGTGACTTTATAATCACTTTCACATGCTGTTTACAGTAATGTGAGAGTGACAGAATCAGGCAACGTTCTGGTGACCCAAAAGACCTTCAAGGGGGAATGCAAAGTGTGTGTGTATGTGTGTGTGTGTGTGTGTGTGTGTGTGGTGTGTGTGTGTGTGTGTGTGTGTGTGTGTGTGTGTGTGTGTGTGTGTGTGTGTGTGTGTGTGTGTGTGTGAAACACTCACACCAGTATAGTACCTCCCTGGATCTGACTTGGACCTACAGTCGGGGACAGGCAACACATGATTGGATCACACCATCCTGCCAAGGTCCTGCAGCCAATCACAAACCAGTATTTCATTCTATACAAGGCCTGAGTGGGGGTGGGGGTCTAAAAGCTGGGCGTTGACCCATTGGAGGAATTAATGCCAGACCTTTCTACTTGCCCATGTTCTCATTCTCTAGGCCTTTGTTTCTGTCTTCTCCTTCTCAATCACACTGAAGATGATTCATGTTTCTCGCCTGTGTTGCCAAATGTGCAAAAGATGATCAACTTTGCCAATTGAAAAGCAAAGAATCACGCTCCTTTAACTGCCAAACTCTCAGTGAAAGACTAGGCTGGAAGAAGAGGCATTTCCCAATTGTAAAATGAGTGTCACATTTCAGTCCGGACTCACATTTCCCAGCAGTTGCAAATTCATCAGTCATGTAAAACACAAAGCCAGAGCCTCTTGAATATCAATCCAGCTTTGATTTTAAAACTGTTAAAATATGTTTGAGCAACACACAATCCCAATCATGCTACACAATCACAAATCATCATCAATCATTTGACGGTCTACTGTATATCACGGTCTACTGTTTGTTTGTAGCCTTTATTTAACCAGGTGAAAAATCCCATTGAGATCAACGACTATAGCCCGCGGACTATATTGAATCGGCCCTCAGCTAATTAAATAAGTATAATGGAATACGGCCCACAAATGAAACTTGAGCTTGTCTTATATTGTACTTCTTCAATATGAATGTAATCATAATATACACAGTAGTATTCATGTGTTAATAAGACCTCTTTTCCAATAAATTCAGTTAATTAAAGTTGGAAACATTTTCTAACATATCTTAGTTGATAAGAAAAAATCCCAATGACATATTTACAAGCTTGAAATACACCCTTCCTATTTCTCCTTATTATAATCAATATGAGGCATCTGTGTTAAGGGATGAGCTGCCAACACTCACAAGCATCACTTACTTACATTTGATTGATTTTGCTAACTTATAACTGAACTTATGAGGCAATATACCTCTTGTGAGTGGCCCAGCCCTTCGTATATTTGTCTGTCTGTGGCCCCCCTGGTCTACGATATGCAGTTAATTGACAATTGTACGTTCATCTGTGAAAAATGTACACTGCCACATACCCTTTTTGCCAATAGGCTTGACACAAACACACACCTGCACACTTGACCCCCATGTCAAATGTTAGCCTCCTAGGGTCAAAACTGCAAATGCCAAAGGGTCAGGAAATGTGACACATTGAGTGTGATGACATGCCTCTTTCTAAACCAGTAAATCTGTTCTGCAGTTGGACACTTTTTCGCCCTTAAGTCACAGCCTAAGTGCCCCAAGAATGACCCTTTGGTCTCGCCAAATGCCCTCAAGTGCCCTATTAGCTGGCTTGCTCAAGTGCAATATAACCCTAAACCTAAATATAACACTAAACTCACTCCCTGCTGCCTATGAGAGTCTGTGCACTCCACTTCAGTAATGACAGTCCATTGCTTGGATTGAACCTCTAATTTACTTACAGTGTAAGCTCACGGCTCAAGTGATCTAACAAATAACAGGGTTCACACGCTTAGTGGGAGATTTTCTGTTTAGTCCAGATTTTACGCCTCATGTAGTCCACATATCCACATATCCCATCCTCCCCTCTGTGGAGATAAAGCAGCTTTCCGCTTAATCTGATTCTTAATGTCTAAGGACAATCACGCAACTGTAACAGCTGTTTCTTTAGCAATAAAGCAAAGACTGATAAGCCATTGCTGCAACACAGAGAGTTCAGCCGAAGAGATATTTCTCAAATCCTCCTTGCTTGTGTAATTTAATTTGGCAAAGAATAACATGACGAAATATATGATTGAAACTGAATATTTTACAGCTTTGTATCTGTAGCTTTAAACCTTACACACAATTTCCTGAGTATACAATCACTTTCGGTTTGTTGTATACATTTATAGTCTTGGAGTTCAACATTAAGAGGTTTCCAGTGATTTTCCGTTGTTGTGTAACTCTTGATTTATCTCAACGAAGTTCTAGGTTAATAGTTACCAATCTTTTAAGCTGTATTTTTGAGGCGAAGGTCACATAAACACACAGACACACACAAAAACACACACATATGGACAGAGACGCCAAATGAATAAAGGGCCTTTCAAACACAAACAATGACATATTGTTTTACTTTTCTCTGTGCGGTTACTTAATACATAATTGATATGTGAATAAATTAACTGGATTTCTCTCACATAAAAGTGTTTCAGGATCAAATCTTTAATAATAATATCTTCATATTTGTGACACATTGAGGGTTATTACTGTACTTCTCATGGCAACTTTAAGTAAGTAAGTAAGTAAAGTAAGTACAATGTAATGCGCTTTTCACAGACATAGTCACAAAGTGCTTGACAAAACATTAAAGGTGGGGTAGGTAAGTTTGAGAAACCAGCTCGAGTGCGCTAGAATTTGAAAATACACAACCGGAGAAAATCTGCCACTTCCTTACAGAGCCCCTCCTCCAACACACACGAACGCGCACATGACCAATGAGGGCACGAGATAAGTTTGTGCACAGATGGAAGGCTGACAGGCAGGTAGGCCATCCAGTTATTTTAGCCGGGCCGGCTAAAGTGATTGGTCGTGCTTTTTACAGTATTACAGCTTCCACAGATGACATTTCTTTATGGATTTTTTGTCAAAGCACTTAAGATATTCATTGCTATCGGGATGTTAAGAGCATTCCATGGAATATCACAAAAAGTGTATCTCGAGCCGGTCTCTCAAACTTACCTACCCCACCTTTAAGACATCATAGGAATCATAAAAGAATAAATGACCACTCAAGCCACGTGTTAAGAAGTGCTAAAAAAAAACCTAATGTTAAGGTCTTACATCATTACATTACATTAATGAAGTGTCTTGCCCAGGGACACAACGACATGCTGACTGCAGTGGAATTCGAACTTGCTATCCTCTGATTCGAAGATCAGAGCACTAACGAGCACACTAACCCACTGAGCCACAGCCTCCCTACATCAGAACCCACATCATTATGGGGTTCTTCAGTTTTTGGTACCGTTTACCTTTCGTTTTTAAAATGTTTTCGTGATTCTGTTGCAAAATAGCCACCGGGCTGTACTCTATTTCCCAGACCTCACAACACCCTACATCACAGAAGAGGGGGGGTCTTTATATAACCTTTGTTGCCATTACACAACAACCGCAGGAAGTGGAAATACACTCAGGAGTAAAAGCATTACGTCTGCCCCAAGGTGTCCTATTTTAACTTGTGTACGAAAGCATTTATTGTTTATTGAAATATCATGCATGTGCCAAATCATTCACAGTTTCCTGCAGATATGTGAGGGAAAGGTCACGATGTTGTCAGCGGCAACATTATCTCATGTAAAGGATGTCATTAATGTTTTGTTTTTTTAAAAGCAGGAGGTGTAGGGAGGAAGCAAGCCATCAAGTCTGTGTAGACTCACTAAAGGACAAATACAGATGGGATTTTGGCACAACCGGAACAGTTTCGAGGAAAATGCTTTCTTGTAACATAATCACATTCCCATGCAATTGTTCATTTGTAGCCAGACAAACACACACAGGAAGAAATACTCCTGCACGAAATTATCAACACACGCAATATCTGACGGCACTCAGTGATGATGACCGCCATCTGGACAAACCACAAACTGACATCATTGATCAACTAGGAATTGTTTCCAACATATTATTTTTGGAAAGACCAGAGGTGGGAAGCAGTGGAGTACAAATACTTCGTTACTGTACTTAAGTACATTTTTCTGGTACAAGTACTTTACTCCACTACTTCTTTTTCTGACGACTTTTTACTTTGACTTCTTACATTTTGAACACAAATACCTGTACTTTCTACTTCTTACATTTTGAACCCAAATACCTGTACTTTCTACTTCTTACATGTTGAACTCAAATACCTGTACTTTCTACTTCTTACATTTCCCAAACAGGCTGGTTCCTTTAGTTTGAATGTGTGTTTGGTGGCGTGATCATTATTATTTAGAGTCATTGCGTGCCTATTGATTTGAACACGATCCGTGTATCCATCATTTCCTGGTCTTCTCTAAAGAAGAGGGACCAATGAAAACGTTGTCATGTTGCCGTTGTTCAGCATGGAAACATTCATTAGCTAACAATGACATTATTGTTCTATTAATATAAAGGGAGGTCAGGTACTCTTTAAAACAGCTGCTAGTTATGGGTACTTTTTACTGAAGTACATTTCAAAGCCCTCTTTACTTTTACTTGAGTAAAGAAGTTTAGTCAGTACTTCTACTTTTACCAGAGTATTTTTAAACACGAGTATCTGTACTTCTACTTGAGTAAAGGATGTGTGTACTTTTGCCATCTCTGGGAAAGACATCTTAATACTTCTACCACCCCTGACTGTAGCTACCCGTTCCTCTCCCTCCTCTTCTTCTCCTTCTTCATACCTTCCCCTCTACTTCAGTCCTAATCTCTACTCCCTCTCCTTCAAAAGTCACACCATACTAGGATTATCTTTCCTTTGGCCTCAGCCCAGGAACACTGTTAACATCCCCGACAGTTCTAAATAGGTTATACATGACTTTTGTTTGTACTACAGCTTGATGCTGTCAATATTGTATAGATACCGTTTATTGTGTGGGAACAGAGCAATGAGGAAAGATGCATTTTGCTGCAGTTGATGGACTTTCTGTGACACTGCCAAGTTCATGAATCAAACGGTTTGGGGGATCTACTGTAGTAAAGGAATTTCTTGTTGTACTCTATCATCACAACATGGCCAGGAAAAGCAGCTGAGGTTATGGGCTGATGTTTGGATAACTTCAGTCTACAAATGCACAAGGTTGAGGGTTTCCTTACAGAGGCAACGGTTAGTTAAATGTGTAGCTAAGGTACACTAGCTACCTAGGTTGATAGATAGCAAATGTTAGATAGATAGATAGATAGATAGATAGATAGATAGATAGATAGATAGATAGATAGATAGATAGATAGATAGATAGATAGATAGATAGATAGATAGATAGATAGATAGATAGATAGATAGATAGATAGATAGATGGATGGATGGATGGATGGATAGGTAGATAGATAGATAGATAGGTAGATAGATAGATAGATAGATAGATAGATAGATAGATAGATAGATAGATAGATAGATAGATAGATAGATAGATAGATAGATAGATCATTGTCATTTGTTATCCTGCCAGTCACTGACAGACGATGTATTTGTTACTGTGAAACCATACGATCACTGCAGTGAAGCCGTAAATGATCTTATAATCCATATTAACATTGCTGCTAGTGCTAAACGGAAAGAAATAAGACATAAGCGTTTGAACCGGAGGTGGGAAAAGGGGTAGTGCCAAAAAAGGTGAGGTCCTTACAGTAACTATAAATCCAAAGGTTGCTCACCCATGTCGTCCTCGTGGTAGATGATAGAGTGGTGGTCTGTGTGGGTGCTGGTGTATCTATCCATTGGCTCTATATGATAGGTGCCGTTCTCTGTGTGGATGGTTCCCTCAAACTGACCCTGTAACACAGAGCCATGGCAGGCTGAACCATGTTCTCCTAAAAGACCAGGAGAGACAACATGTCTGAGGTCAAAGAAGTGAAAGTAAACAGAGATAACTCACATATAGACACGGACAGACATAATAAATTGAATTTAAAGTGACTTACAAGAAGTGCAACCAACCATGAGGATATAAACTCAGAACAGCAATATGAGATAGCAATACATTGACCTTTCCAAATGCTTTACTTTGATCTTCAAATAATAACAATCAATCCGGAATGTTTTTACCACAAACAGATTTGTATCCAAATGTTGTATCCAGCTGTTTTACAGATGTCGAAACCTTAAAGGCTTTAAATAACTGTTGATGTTGTGTGTTTAAAGGCCTAATCAGTGGCGTAACTATCGACGGTGCAGCCGGTCAGGGGCCCATGCAAAAAATATATTTAAAAAAAATGTGGGGCCCCAATGGCATTGACCGGTTCACGCAGTCTTCAAAGTAACCAAGCAACCTAAATTAATTTGTAAGTTGTCTGTCCAATGACTTTGCTCCCTTTCATGTCATGTGATACCTTGCGTGACAAGCGAACCGTTTAATCAACCTGTACTGTACTGTATAGCAGCAGCAAGTTCGGCAGCATTATAAAAAATTGAATAGCTTGCATTTATAATGTACAGCAAACCAAAGCACAAGAGCAGCGCTCAAAAGAGAAAGGACAAGAGAGAACAAGGAGATATAACAGCTAAACTGACGAAATGAGACAGTTTTTTTTGTCATACATCGTCCTCGAAATCGAGCGCTAACGTTAGCAATGTTGATGTGCAGCGGCAGCCGGAGCCGGAGGCTAACGATAGCTCACCTGCCTCACCACCATCATTGCCATCTAGCTCCACAAGTGAAGCTGTATCCATGGCCGTAGCTGTGCGACCTTCTTCTCCAGCCAGCCAGGAGGAGAGGCTGGATTTGCGGTGGTCCAACAGTTCCCCCAAGGGCCCCAACCGATAGGGGACTCTATGGCGCTATCGAGACCCCCGACGCCAAGATCAAAAGCTACATTATAGCAACCGGTCCATGTAGGCCTACCGGCCCATTCCCCAGAGACAAACATCAAGGAAACAGGTGTAATCCTCTTCTTCGCTGTGCCATTGTCAGGCTGTGGTGGTTTGATTC